TATACTAGCTACTCTACATTTAATGTTAGTGATGGTAGTACTAAATATATGCTAACAGTAGGAGGATATTCTGGTATTGCTGGGGATGGACTGATTACTGATCCTATTAATGGATATAATCACAATGGAATGACATTCACTACAAGAGATAATGATAATGATAATGGTGGTGTGAATTGTGCTATTAGATACAGTGGTGCCTGGTGGTTTAACAGTTGCTTTCAATCACATCTCAATGGTCCTTACTATACTAATCCAACTGAAGCTGGTACCTGGTTTGGAATCATATGGTATGATTGGAAAGGAGTTGGCTATAGTCTAAAGTTTACAGAACTAAAAACACGTCGTAACAACTAATCTGTGAATAATGTGATAGCATTGTGTAGAATTGGTTAGTGATTACATGTGTTACTTAGTGACCATTCTTTCATTTATATAATTGTAACAACGACATGTGTATAAGTGTATTGCTAACAACACTTAAGTTCTGTGGACGTATAGTTTAATCTACATGTATTTCTATGCTTAGATTCAATTTTTTTGTTGGTTGTATAATAATAATAATACATGCAATACCATATGTATATGTACATAGCAGTTTCCCTTTTAGAGAACCCATCACGTTTAAGCACCAATGTTAACTAAGACCATGCATTTTAAATCAAAGTACATGTACATATGCATGTAACTTACTTTGACTTCAACGTTGCATTGACCAGGCCCTCCAAACCGGCAAAACCCACCAAGGAGTATGTCTTGATCACGACTAAACTATTAAAACTGTTTCTATCAATCCAGCATTGTCACCCCACCCCCCACCATAGCTACATGTACAATAAACAAACAAATAAATAATAAATAAATAAATTTATGTACAGCACACATCAAAAAAAAGGTTAAGTAGGGTACAGTAGAGAAGAGAACCTTGAAGGTAGTTCATAGATACTTCGCTACTACTTCACTACTCTTCGCTACTACTTCGCTACTCTTCATTACTCTTTGCTGCGTTATGCTGCGATCCCACCCAGTCACATGTACTGTAGTAGAACTTGTGGATAATTCTTTGGCTGCCTGTGCTCTCCAAGGTCATCTATAATACCATTCTCTCCTTCTAGAAGCTTGTTTAGGATGTTTTTGCTCGATTCTACTGTCACGCTACTGTCTTCTACTGTCACACTACTGTCCTGCTACTGTCGGAGTAAGCATGTGCAGAGAAGGAGCAATGAACTACCTAGGCAAAAGTAGAGTAACTGTGGAGTAGCTACTTAGCCTTTTTTTTTATGCGTACTGTAAATACTTTAAAAATAATATTTGCCAATTTGGAATTATTGTAGCTTCTATATACATGTACATGTACATGCAAAAATTGTACAAGTACATGATACTTATAGATAAAAAATTTCTCTGTTATTTAGAGGTCATTTTATACAGTAAGGAATGCAATCGGTACACTACAGTAGGTGCTGTCTGTTAAGTGGAGGTGTACGCTATAAAGAGTGTTTATTAAGAGAGACTATACGGGGAATAGCTAAGGGAATACATTTGTCCATGCATGACCTGTTACTACTACTGAGCTTACAATTAACTCTTGAGACAATGAGATAGTCGTCAACAGAGGCAGACTTCACCTTCCTACAATAGTGGAGAGTGTGTAATGATGATAAGAGATTCATTGAAGCATGGAACCACATGATGATAGAACCTTTAGACTGAGGGAGACATACATGTACATGTAATGAAGGACTTAATAGTACCCTCTAAATCTGGAGAGAGGGAGGGAGAGAAAGAGAGGGAAAATTATTGTACACATAAGATATGTCATTAAACAATTAAGTAAACTGTGTGTGCATATGTATACATACATGTCAAGAGTTATGAACTATAAAGTATGGAGGAAGAGGAGAAAAGAATGGAGGAAGAGATAAAAATGAAGGAAAAGAGAGAAAGAGATCAAGCTACTCACTCTTGACGTACAAAATGTGAATTTCATGCTTTGTTTTTATGTACATATACAATTATGCACACATACATGTACATGTAACTACAAAAACAGTGTGTTGGTATGTTGTAGGTTCACATTAAATAAAATAACAAATACTATATAGTGCATGGAGGGAAAAGGGGGAAGAAGGAAAGGGAAAAGAAAGGAGAAAGAGGATCATTTCTAACCTTTAGCTTCAGCTGCAACAGAATCATAACAACATAATTATTTCAAAGCTGCTCTCATCAAAACTCTACAGTACATTATACTTTGTATCAATGCACAGACTCCTCCCACTGAGACACTCCTACTCATCACCATCCAACCTATTGAAAAATACATGTACATGTAATGTCACATGATAGTTACATGATCAAAACATGCAAATGTATACATGTATGTACATGTACATGTACATTTAAATGGTTTAAAGGTCAATGGTTTAATGGTTTACATAAGGACATGTATACCGTATAGCTTGTATAGCTTGATATTTTCGTGGGTCGATATTTTTGTGGGTTGATATTTTCGTGGTTTGCTCCTGGTGGGGCAATTCGTGGTTTAATTTTCATGGTTGACAGTTTACATAGCCTGTAAGGGGATGGCACTTCAATGATTTTGTGGGTTTAAATTTCGTGGGCAGCCCCATAACCACAAAAACTACGAAATTTACATTCCACAAAAATTTCAAGCTATATGGTATGCATCAGAAAAATTATAAATTAAAAAATTCTGTCCTTGTGATTTTTATCAAAATATCCTGTAATATGTAGTACTCGGTTATTGGCTCTATTTTTGTACAACTTGACAATCCACTGATAAGAATAAAGCTACATTGTAAATCATGATTTGGTAGGAAACTTTGATTACAACTGTAGGTTGAAGAAAAAACATACATAGTACATGTACATGTACATGTGTGCATACAGATTCCTAGGCTTAATGTAGGATTCATACATGTAGGTAAGGCCACTCCAATTTGATTCCTTGTTTCCCATTACCCGCCCGCATGGGGCCGCATCGCTATTCATTATTGCGGTTTTTCATTGATTATACAAGCAATTTATACAGCTGATAATGAATAAATTTAATGAAAATGAACAAACCCGCCCGCCCGCATCAGGCCCGCCTCTGTAATGGGAAACTATGAATCTTATTGGAGTGGCCTAAACAGTACTAAATACTAATCACATACATGTAAATGTATAGTACAATAGTGATGGGCGATTCCGAGTCCGGAGTATTTGATCCTTCGATTCCGAATGGAATCATACTCGTATCGAAAGAGAAGTAGGAATCGTTTGAAATGATTCCAAATTAAATCACACCCAACCGCACCTTTTAATATTAATAATAGTTAATAAAATCAGTAGTTAATACCTTAATCATTGCTGTAATTGATACCACGTGGCTTTGCGCATGCGCAGATGTAGTCTCGGAATCGGTAATTGATTCCATCGATTCCAGTCTCAGAAGTATTCAGAATCGGAATCGAATGCAAATTTCTGGATTCGCCCATCACTATAGTACAATAATACATTTAACACAATAATAAGTACATGTACATACATGTACTGTATGTAAAGATTGTGTGGACCTTCACAGTATTACCATAACCAGATCCAATCTTCATCAACCCAAAGCTACCATGAACATATGGATACTTAAAATCAGTAGCAATAGACCCAACAAGAGATGAAGAGGATGGCTTATGTTCCAGTCCTGGTAGTAACCATTCAACAAGACTCTTATTTTTTATCCCTTGATCAAACCAGTCAGTATCATAAGGTGAACCAATAAGAACAGCTTTTACTGATACTTGTAATGACCTTAATATGTCTGGTACCTGAGGAAAGAGAGGAGAAAGAAGAGAGAAGGAGAGGGGGTAGAGTAGAGATATTGAAATATTCTATTAGAGGAAGGTACATGTACATGTAGTTTACATCAAGATTCATTAATAAATTCAGTACTGTTTGTGTATGCAGTAGAAACAGGTTTACGTACATGTACATGTACACTGTACTTTTATACCAGCAATGAGTAATTACACTTCACTATCTTGCAGATTTAGAGGAAATTTTTCAAAAGAAACTACATGTATTATTTTACTATGGTCCCAAGTAACATGTATAGTATATGTAATATTAAAACAGTGACACTAAATTAATGTACATAAAGCTTGATTGACGGACTACAGTGGCTGATTTGTGAAAGACAAAGAAGCTAGTGCTTGAGAAAATGTGCTAACATGTGATTCATATTTTTTCATTTCTCTTTTATCAACATCTCCTTACTTTTAAATAGTGTCCATTATACATCAACAGGTCCTATCAGTAAAGCTGCAATGGCTGACAATATCTTGCTAGTCTGTCCAAGAGCAGCAACTAAACTTATCAGAGAAGGGGAAGCAACTGCAGAGAGTTTAGAGGCAGCAGCTTCAATTATGACTCATCTACAACTATCTTCATCAGTGTGATTACAATTCTTGAGCTATAGGAGAAAGGGGGAGAGGAAGAGAGACAGAAAGAGAAAGAGAGTGAAGGAAGAAGGGAGAAAACAATGAAAAGAATTATGCTTGTGTTACATGTACATCAATTGAATACGGTACCTGCATCACATGTGATAGAATTTGCAAAATTAAAATCCACAAATTGGATTGTCAGCAGATTTCGTAAAATATAATTCCCTCGAAAAAACATGTGGTGGTAGCAAAGAAGATGTATGTTTACTTGAGCAAAATTTATGGTACACACAAGCATGGACATGCATACATGTACATTAAGGGTTGTACTTACTTCTGGTAATGATTCAATTTCCTTCTTTCCTTCTTTAGTCTCCTCCTCTTCCTCTATCTCCTCCTCATCACTTCCATCATCTTCAGCATATCATCTGTTATACATGTACGTATCAATCCATGCTGTAAAACAAAGTGATGAACTTGAGAATATACATGTACAGAGAATGATGATGAAGCTGGAAACATGATGAGAGAATTATCTCCTTCGGAAACTACAGTTTTCTTCCCTTGTACCTTTTAGGAGTAGCTGGAATGGATTGGGGAAAGGCAGAGAGAGATGGAGCATAGATACGACAATTTATACTTCAGAAATTTGTGCATGATTTAATATTTATGCAGTAATAGTGTTTCGTGTATTATTGAATGTGGCATGTAATTACATGTACATGTATAATGTGTGTATGATCTAATTTTCTTGCAAATTTCTAATTTAGCAAATTAAAGTCATGGTACACGTACATGTAAACAGCAATTAATGTCATTTCATAATTACATCTTTCTTATTAGTATCATTTTTCCTCTTTTTTGTCTTTTTCAATTAATCAATGAACTACATGTACAATGTAAAGGGAGAAATAGAGGGGAGAGAGAAGTGTAATACAATGCATATTACATGTACATCCACATGAACATACATGTACATGTACATGTACACACACCAAATACTTGTAAACATTGCAAGTACTGTACAACCAGAAATAAAAAAAAACATGTACACATGCATACATGTACTACTGGATCAGGTTTCCCACAAAGCATGCTACATGGAAATAAGCTGAAAGCATACATGTAGCTGACAAGCCTTTATTGTACAGGTCTTTATTATACAAGCCTTTATCATTTATGCTCCTCAGACTGATCTGCAGGTCTCTCACTAGCTTTCTTTCCCGCCACTTAGTGCATGTACATGTAGGTGTGGTAAATTAACTTCTGGTATATGTTAATCATGAATTATTTATAAGCATATTCCACCCCTGCGTGAGGAAGGCGCAGGGGACATTTGTACGAATGATTTTTGTGCATTTTTGTGCAATTTTGATTTTGATCAAAATCCATTCATAATTTCTAAACAACATCATGTAAGCACAATGTACATGTACATGTACCAGAAAATGCACATGTAGCAAAAAACTCTCCTAGTAATTTTCACTGTACTGTGTATACAAATCTTTACTTGATCAGATTTATGAGCAATTTAAAAAATTTTGACAAGAAGCTCCAAACTAAGCTAAATTCCTGAAGAAAACCCTGTATTGGATTCTGTGATTGATAATGTACCCTATAGCAAAAATTTTGGAGGGAGTTAAATTTGGCTAATTGCTAATTTTTGGTGATTGGTGAATTTTAATTTGGCCAATTAGTAGCTATGTGCCATTGAGCGTATAATGGCTGAAAATGCAAGATTTTATTTTGGCAAATGGTACTCTCGCCCTACCCCTTTGCTACCTGCGGAGGAAGGGTCTTGAGACACTCACAGTAAAAATGTGTGCTTCATGCAGAGAAATCCACATCACAATCAGATTGCTCGAACCACATGTAGGACAAATAGTCATCAGTGTGACCGAGGAGCTCTGTTTAAGACAAAAGAGGAAGAATTAGGACCAAATAAAGGAAGGAATGAGCCTGTAATGCTCCATGGACTTCTTTCTCAAGGTTTAAGAGCAGCATTATTATGCTGCTTACTACAACGACGCCATCGGACTTACGACGTAATTATACTATCACCTGTTTACAATAAAATGTCATCAATGAAAAGTAAATATTATGGCGCTCTATGAAGAGTTGCTGCTCTCAAATCTGCAAAAGATGTCCAAGAGGCTCTGTCCTTGTCTTCTTTTAGCTGCAAAGCATCTGTTTCAGCTGTTTTGATTGATCTGGTCTCCTCTGTCACATGACGTAAGGCCAGCCACATGGTCTTCTTTGCACACATTTTTACCTGATTGTCTCCAGACCCTTAGCGAAGGGGCGGGGCAAGACTAGGCAAATGACTATCAAAATGCCAAATTCACCAAATTTAATTCTCTCCAAAAATTTCCCACAATACGGTATAACATAGCAACAATGTACATCTGCAATTAGTTAATTATAAATCAAAAGGCTTACAAATGACATGAAAGGCTACACAGCAAAATTAACAATACCCATAATTAACCAAGCGTAATTAACAGCCTAGCTTACATGTTGCATGTCTCAGTACTAACTACTTGGTAAACTCTTTGATCAAAGTCTCTCTCCAGTATCTTCTTAAATAACTTGGTGAATGAATTAATAATGCCATAGATTCCGAAGTTCTCTCCTCCTCCAGAGTCTAGACAGTACCGAGACGTTTCAGTAATGCCAATGGCGTCTATTTAGATCTCATGGATCTAGATCTAGTTCATCCCGAGCTCGTCGGTAGTATCCTACTTCAGAAGAAAAAGATAGGCTACTCTTTTCGTTCTTGACTTCAAGTTCAAAAATGGGAAAGCTAGCTACAAAGTTCACTTCCAAGTCCCAATTTTAATTAATCAAGTAATAATTATTAATTAATTTAATTTTGCATTTCTATGGTTACATATAACGTTTATAAGATGCTTGAGTCATAGATATCCCTATAAGATGTATGATGCAGTGTCACTGTTACTGCTGTCTGTTGCCTTCTGGTTAGGCTTGAACATAGATATTGGTGCTATTAGTACATGTCCATGCCCACCAACCTCGGGTAAGTGTGGTCACTGAGGGTATCGTGATAAATGTACTGTTTCTATAGGTGGTATATACATGATGATGGGTTCATTATGTAATATTTCTAATAATACTTACTTTCAAGATGTCGAAATCAGATCAAGTTCTTTAGAGTGTGGAGTGCCTGGTTATGCTCTAAATGGTGGAGAATTGATTGGTCCTAATGGAGCTGTTCCTTGTCCTGGCAATAATTCAAATTTAGAGTGTGCTGTTGGGTCAGGTGCTAATATTACTATTAGTATACAATCCACAAACAACATTCTGACATCTGGTGAAGGATGGTATAGGTGTTGTCTACCCACTTCTTGTTCAGATCCTAATGCATACGTCTTCAGGTTTAAGATATACAGTAAGTGTCATATGCATACAGCAATAATTCTAAATTGAATTGTAGGATGGTTAGATATAGATGAATTCAATGTTGAAGCTGAAAGTATGACTGATAGTCACATTTTTAGATACGTATTAAGTTGTCGTAAAGTTGGACACTCTATGTATGATGTCAGAATAACATGTGGTGATCAAGTTTTACGTTCTTACACTGGTTGCATTGATAATACTGTTGATGAATGTGAGAGTACAAGTGGTAGAAATTCTAAAACTAAAATCTATACTACCCCGGTTTTAACTTGGAGAATTATTGAGGGTCGTTTGGGATATGGTTCTGTCTCGCATGTTATTAGTGTAGTCGAGTGCAACTGTGTCTTGACTCTTAATGCATCAATTAATGTAACAAGGACATTTAATATAACAGGTATAACTGAAATTTACATGCACATACATGCATCATTACATGTCTTATTTTTGCTCCTGAAGCCCCTGATAATAGAATCTCAGGCTCTGTGATCAGAAGAACAATATCCACTATTACTGCTAGCATACCGGAAGATACTGAAGCTGAAGGATATGCACTTACGGTTTTTGATTCTAGAATTTCTGTTTTCAGATTTGTACGGTGGATACGAGTAAATGGAAGCAGTAATACTATAATCACAGCATATGACCTGGATCCAGCAGGTTCATATTTTCTCTATTCATCATTCACGAGATTGTTAATAGGACGAATAAGTGGTGTTTGGAGCGGATCGCCTGAGCATTGTCAAAGTTCAGGTATAATTTTTTAATTTGACATTGCTAATCATAAATCTTGACTTTATACAAATGTACAGGTATCTACATAACTCACAAAGGAAATTGCTATTCTAATGATAATGAAATTTTTTACGACTATGAACTCAATTCTGTTAATCACTCACTGTCATGTGTGCTTCCTTCATCTTCATTAACTACTGGTGAGTGGGTTAGAGTTACTGATTCTGCCAATGAAGCTGTTACCTGCAATACCAGTGACTTCCATTGCATTGAAGTCAATGCAAGTTATACTAGATCTGGACATCAAACTTACGCTAGTCTTGGACTATATTTTCCTTCTGATAATGAATTACAAACTAATCTTGAAGGATTATACAAGTGTTGCTTAAATGCCAGTTGTACTACTAGTGGTACTAGTGAAATTACAGCTTTTATATACCGTAAGTACATATTCCATTGTCCACAATTTGATGTTAAATCTACTATAGGAGGGCTGTCAGATATAACTGTCGAGCTTCCTTCAGATTACATTCTTCCACAAACATATACATTGCATGCTATTAAAGATGGTAACAAAAATTATTCACTGTCCTTTGTTTGGTACTATGAGCCTGATAGTGCTAGTAGTACCGAAATAACTGCTGGATTTTGCAGTTGGCAAATTGGATACAATTGCAGCATTGGTAATGGAACAATACTAGACCAAAGTAATGAAACAATTGATTACACTCTAACTGTTACTTGGAATGGAGAGAGTACTAATGGTCCAGTGCAGACTCAATCAAAAAATGGTGATCATAGATACAGATTTTACATTCGTTTCAGTACAGCTGAATTGGATGATATAACAGAAAGGAATAGATACATCACTGTGGCAGGTAACCTGAAGTATGTTACTGAAGCATAATTAATGAAATGGTTTTATTGTTTTATTCAGTCCCAGCATCAGCTCCATCTTCTCTAACTATGATAAACAAGACGGCTAGAACTATCACTATTGAATGGACTGGACTTGGAGGTGATGCTGATGAATATGTAGTCTATGTCACTAATAATACTGACACTGTGCAGAGAGTGCAAGTGGTGGACGGTTGTAGAACTTCAGTCAAAGTGACAGGGCTGAATGGAAGCACAACATATAACATCACAGTCAGAGCAAAACAACACTTACTAGGACCTCCAAGCAATACAATCACAGTAGAAACCCTTAAACAAAGTACATGTGCATGCATGTATATAACCAATTTTTGTAATACATTAATTACATTGCACCTCTTTCTTTTAGTAATCCCAATTGAGGTCTCTTTGCTCATTCAACTTAGTACCAGTATTCATTGTCTCACTCCTAGTGATATGGATCCATTAACTGATGTTACCTGGTTAGTGAATGGAATGATGAAGAATAACACAATGTATGCATCAATTGATTCCTTGACATACAACAACACACTGCTTGTACATCCTGATCCACTTGAAGTGACAATTAATGTTACTTGTATAGCAATGTTTGGTGGAACCAACTACTACAGTCAATCCGTCACATTGCACCGTATGATTATAATTTTATCAATAATATCTTAACAGTTTTTAATAGAACCTAGTAGTCCTCCAATTACAGTGACAGGGTTCATATTCAATGCTACTAGTATCAAACTAAATTGGACCAATATATCAGTGATTCATGTAGTTGAGTATATTAAAACCGGTGGTGTAACAAGAAGTGTACTATCTACCAGTGAGAATGAAATCATGTTAACAGATCTATCACCAATGAGTACATATACATTCATGGTATACTCATATGAAGATATTATTTCAGCCAATAGTACAGCAACTACACTAAAATTTGATAGTAAGTTACTATGCATGTACTTGTATCAGTTTGATTTCCTAAATTAAAGTTCCAAGTCCAGTTACTAATCTCTCAGTAACTCATGTTTCAACCACTGGTATTACTTTGAACTGGACTATTCCCAGTAACATCAATTATGTAACATATTACACAATCT